TGCTGTTAATATCACTTTATATCAGGGCGGAAGTGGTGTAGTGGCATGTGGCGTACTATCACACACACATACCCAAGGGATCGAATCTCGGATTGATATTCACCCAGGCCAACCTAGCCTTCCATCCCTCCGGGGTCGGTGACTTGGTACCAGACTCGTCTGGGAGGATAAAAGCACTGACTTGTACATCGGCTTTCCACCGCAAGTCATTGTATAAGCCACATACGCACTCATTACGCCACTAAGTTTCTGAATGGAAGTCGAGTGCGGAGGCGCATCCCTCAGACGGGATTAACGCTTAAAAACTTATCCTTTATCCTTATCCTTACTTCGCCTGCATCTCACCACAGAAGACTATATATTTAGCGAGTGAGAGTAATCCCAGATTCCGTCCGAATCAGGATCAACAATGCCGCTACATTTGTCAGCAAGTGATAGCCAAAAGAGCTGGGCGACTAGCAACTTTTCGATAACTGGTCGACCTGGCCGACTGGAGAAGTCAAGCTACTGCGCATCGCCTCTCTTCGAAAAGTGTTGGGGAGAAATAGGTCTCAAAAATCAAACAGCATTAAAGAATCTGCGTTCGGTAACATCACTGTGTGCCGTTGGTTCAGCTCCGATTCAATAGAAGCGTAAAGAAAAGTCAAACATTCGTATACGCCTATTGGCAGAAAAGATTGCAGCGTCATTGCGGCACCGCTCTAGTCACCTGAAGAAACGGAGAAAATTTCTGGGAACGGAAGTTTCATGACAAAAACTATTGGAAATATTGAGCCAGTAATTTCTTACACCAGAGACTAGGAAACGGCAAGGAGGAAATTAAGCTGAAGTGGACTTCGAACTGAGTGAGAACAGGGTCCGCTAGACAAATCGTAATACATTCTGAAGGGGTCTGAAGCGGCTATGTCGTTTCAGATCACGATGGTGGATGTAGCGGCTGTATTGCCAAAGGGGTAAGTTACATATGTTGAGCCCATCTCATGGATGTCATTCAAAATCCTATTCGTACAATCAATTTCAACAGGTGAAACTATGCATGAAGTAGTTGGTTCTCGGACTTTATGGGCTTCTCGACATAGGCAGCCCTTCTCAAATCCAAGGTCAAAGGAAGTTTGCTTCCGTTTAGAGCGAAAATTTCCGTCTCTGATCGGACCCGTCCTTGCACATTTCGAGCGCCATGCTTACAAGAAGCCGTGACTCCTTTCCTTTTACTCTCCCTCATAGTCCTTTTTTTTTGTCATACTACAAGGTCCCATGTTCGTCTTATTTTTCTGCCAGTTACTTTGTTTAGTGGAGTTTCTATGACTGTTCTTAATGTAGCCAAACATCTGCTGTAACGCTGCAGATGTACTAGCTACATACTTGCTCAGGAAAGATGGAGAACAATGTGAGTGTTACAGCATTTTCCGCTCTGAACTCGAGTTTTTGGAAGAAGGGCGACTTATTTTGCAAACTATTAGATTTTTAGACGATTAGATGATTTACGCCTGTTATATATTATGACAAAATACAGTTAGATTCATAAAAATGAAAATATTCAAGCTTATTGGGATAACAGTTTTTCATAACAGGTTCATCAAATAAAGGTTTTAATGGGAGCCATCATGCCTAAATTACCAGTACGGAAAGGCAGAGTGGAAAGAACTCAAAAAAAATTAAGGAACCCGATATGCTGGCCGGAAGAGACCTGGGTAACTGCCAGCGTGAGACGGTGGAGGCGTTGCCAGCGGCAGACTAACCGGAAACGTCATCGCCGGCAAAACCGGTCCGGCAATCTCTAGACGAACCTTTGCACCATTGATGTCGTTGTCGTGATAACCTTACGGAGGGGTAAATTGAACCTTTGATTATTTTAATATAGCTTGAGCAGAATTGTAGCTCTAGCCTGAGACCTACAGCGTCAGATAGCCATGTAGCAAATGAGTATAGGAAGCCGCCACGATTTCGAGTGATGGTCAGGATTTCAACAAGAGGCAAAAGATTTTTTGTGCTACTAAAGGCTATTATGGATATGAGTAAGGG